AAAGAATACTGAAATATCTCCCACAGAAAAAAGGCATGCATGCTAACCGCCTTGGAAATTACCCAAAGAGAAAGAGGCAGCCTTTATAAACCACATAGGTGCATTAAAGGGAAGCAAGAGCCACTCTGGCAAGAAAAGCCTCACAGAATTTACCTTACAGAAGAATTATCAATAAAAAATGCAATGAGTTATTGAAAGAAAAATACCCTGAACGTCCTGATTCATATCAGACATACTACTGGAAAACATTTAACAGCAAATTCAACTTTTCATTTGGGTATATCGATCGATATCGATACATCAACATGTGACAAATTTCAAGCAAAATTAAAAAGTTTGAATGCAAAGCTTATCTCACAAAATATCACAGAAGATGAAAAGTTACAAATTAAGTATGGAATTAGAGCCTCCAGTTGCTGTGTTCCTTGAACCAAGTGAACAGCAAGAAAGGATTTGTTTTGACAAAGCGAAGAATACCCCAGATACTTCTAGTCCATTAAAAGTTAAACACTGTGCTTGTTGCACTTCTTGAGACACAATTGAAAAGTAAGAAAGTGGCATTTGTGTTGACATAGCAAAGATTAAAAAGATATACCTACTGCCTTTTCAAAAATACAGCGTTTGTTGCAGAATATTTCCTCACAGAATAACTATGGGTGTTTTGTGAATAAGTTCTGCAAATTTTCTGTAAGTAGAAGGGACTGAAAATCATCACTTATTACAATCCTATTAAATAAAGAGTTGTAATAGTGTCTATTTCGAGATATTGATTCAGATATCTTGGATGACATGGCATATTTTTGCCTACATCTTCATTACTTAATAATTATCAATTTTTGTAAAGTGCATGTGACTTATGTCACAGACTTCAACACATCTTTTCTAGATCATTTTGTACGAAAAAGCTGTTTTTAAAAATGTTTTGAAATGTTTGACTTAATTAGTGCTATTTTATTCTTATGTTATTTATCTATCTTCCTTGAAGCATATTTTAGGTAAATTTCTTTGCTTAAAAACCTGAATATGAGCTGAAAAATCAGTGAGTACTAATATGAAGTGGTATATTATTGGTATATGGAAAAGTGACATCTATACAAAGATTGCAGAAAAACTTGAAGTGTCAAAAAGCTGCATGGAACTGACTCAAAAAATTTAAAACAACTGGTACTGTTCTTGATGCTTCCCATAAAGACCTAACCTCACCACGAATGGATCACGCTATTGAAAACACAAGTAAATGAAATCTAAGAGACAATGTACCCCATTTAGGGAAAGTGAAGGATAATTTGGTCATAAACATTGGATTTGAAACCCGGTCATCATCTGAGAGAAGATGGCCTGATGAGATTTTATACTGTTGGATTTAATGGACTGTAATTGCACCAAAATGAAATAAAAGTGATCAACATAATTGACTTGATAACAATATTCATCTTGGTAAGAAATAATTCCAATCACAAGCAGTTATAAAACTGGGCATGTGTAATGTATGGAATTTAAAATGATTTTGTAAATAACTTCTTGACTGCCCAGGTGACGCTGCGTCGTTGGCTGAGAGGCCAACATTTGCCTGTCATGTCGCAGACTTTCTAAGGGTAGTGGCTCTCAGGGCAGGCTTCCTCAGGGTGTTTGCTACCCTGAGAAAGACTGACGTGACAGGTGAAACGTTGGCCTCTCACCCAACAACGCAGCTAGAAGTTATGAATTCTAGCAGTGGAAGATTACGTGTACATGATCTTGTAAATAGTAAATAAAGTCTGCTGTGTATTGAAACAACAAAGAGCAGTGATATTAGGTGTGGTGGTAAATACAAGAATAGATTCCATAGAAAATGCGTGGAAGTTCCTGAAGGGGATATAAAAACATTACAGATGTCAACAAAACTGATATGGTTGTGTCAGGATTGTAAAAAACACACTACAAGGAAATAGATGAATTCAAAAAGCAGATAGAAGATATAAAAAATTGTGAACGTTTCAAAAAGTAGACACGAAACCTTGATAAGACAAGAGCTGAAAGAAACATTAAAGAACAATTAAAGTACACAGGAGAGTAATCGAGCAGAGAAATATACTAACACAAAAGAGACAAGTGTAATGAAATTTAAGGCAAAAAGATGCACATGAAACACGCAGGAGAATAAGCAAAAGATACAAGCAAAGAAATTTTTGGAATAATGGAAATAACAGACATGACATCAAAACCACGAAGATGATGCAAATGAAAAAGAAGACGAGAACACTGAAGAACTAGGGCTAATAGACAACTCACCAGAGAAAACAAGGAAAGAAGTAAGAGAATCATTATCTACCTTATCGAAATATAACAGCAACAATCAAATCAGACAGAGCATTCACTAACTAGAAAAGTGTTAGATACAGATATACAGTAAAACCTCATTTTTACATTCCTGCATTTTACACAATTTGTCATTAGACCTGACAAAAAAAAACAACTATATTTACAATGCATTCTCTTCCTGCAATTTACAGCTTGATATTAAAGTGCTTCCTGTCTTTTATGCAATTTTTTCTCGTAAATAATTTTTTTAGGCAAAACTGATTTTTGACGAATGTTGTTGCATGCCCACGTTTTCGGGTGGCATCAGCAATTTCCTGTTATTTCTGGTTATATAGCAAGTTTTGTAGACGTAGTGATAAGTCTCGTCTCATAGTCTGCTAGCAGTGTTTGGTATATTTGTGTGAGATGTCATTGTTGAAGATATCTGGTGTTCAAGATAGTGAAGACTATAATATGGAAAAGAAATACAGGAAATGCATTTCGTTGAAAGAGAAGATAGAGATTATGCGTTGTTGGTGCACATGTCAGAACAGGTGTTCAGTTAGCGAAGAAGCTTCAACTTTCAGTTTTCATGTTGAGCACAATAATTAAAAACAGAACAACCACTAAAATACACAAAACAGTGTGGTGGTATGTCGACAAAAAGAAAATCCTTAAGATCATCTTACGAAGAGTTAGACAAACTTGTGGCAGAGTGGTTTACTGCCACGAGGGCATCAGATATTCGGCTTCATGGCAACCTTTTACAAGTGTAAGTCCTCCAGTTTGCAGCAAAGTTAGGAATTGCTGAATTCACAGAATTAAATGGATGAATCAATCGCTTCAAGACTTGCCATAATATTGCATCAGTGTGCAGGGAAATCGAAGTGTTGTTGGGGAAACCATTACCGAATGGAAACATTAACTTGCCTCAATTATCCAGGGCTACAATAGAAAACATTTTCAATATTGATGAAACAGGGCTTTTTTATAACATTCTGCCAAGTAAGACATTGTGTTTCAAAGGTGAAAGTATCATGGTGAGAAGCTCATCAAACAAAGGGTAACTGTTTTGTTAATGGTGATTGCTGATGGCTCCGAAAAATTACCATCATTGGTAATCGAAAAATTTAAAAAGCCAAAGTGTTTTAAACACATCAAAAATTTACCAACCAAATATGAGACAAACAGTAGTCCATGGATGACCAGCAGTTTCTTCTTCTCCACCATGCATGCTCTATGCTCTGAATGCAAAAAATGGGAGCAAGAAATCAGATGTTATTACTGCTATACAGATGCCCACCCTACAGATCTGCAGCTCAGAAATATAACATTAGTATTCTTCCTCCCGAATTGTACTAGATTTCTTCAACCACTAGACCTCAGCATCATTCATTCTTTTAAATGGAAGTACAGGAAAACGCTGGTTGAAAAGGCTTTGTTTAGGAACAATAATGGTATGGATTCAAAGCTAATGACCATATCAAATCTTAATGCCATAAATTATGTGGCCAAAGCACGGTTAAGTGTGACTCTTGACACTATTTCCAACTGCTTCCATTACACTGGATTCAAGTTTGTAGGAGACACGAATTTTGAACGGGAACATTTGAAGGAACCTGATCACTGACCAGTGATGGCAGGATCTTCATTTGAAGATTGTGTTAATGTTTATTACCACTTCAGTATTATATACTGTGGAGGAGATAATTTCCAACCACCTGGGACAAGAAGTAAGCAAAGACACGCATCCAGAACGTGCTGTTCCGACAATTAACAAAGTAATGTATGCAATCAAAATATTGTGGCAATACATGAAGTGTTGTATTAGATTAAGAAAGTGATTTGTTAAGTTCGTACATTTTGGCAAAGAGTAACAAGACAGTACATAGTAGGACACTTAAATCTTAGTTGAGTGAAAACAATGTCCAGTATTTTGCTATAAGAAATTATCTTCATAGTAAGGGAAGTGAATTAAAAGTATGAAGTAAGTAGTTACTAGGTTGATGAAAATTTGTGAGTAAAAATACTATGATGAAGCAAAATTAAGAGAACATTATATACTGATTAAAAAAATGAGAAAACAATGGAAGCAGTGAAACAGTGTGAGAGGCAGATATGCACAGTCAATCCTCCATCTCTCACTTTTGCTACAGTCAACTGGTTAATATGTACAGAAAGCAGTCATGTTATGCAACTAACACTTCCTACAGTTGCAAACATCTATTACGTATTGCTATTAATTGTTATTACATTGCACCAAAACTTTTAACCCTCTGATGCAGAAAGACACAGATGGAGCTTCAGAGGAGAGGCTCATATGTTTACTGAAATGTATGCATTTTCAATGAAATATCAATGTTTTTCCACTTTCATTTCATTGTAATATAGTTACACTTTTACTTTACTTGTCAAGGTGTGTATTGTAGTGTACAAAATAAAAAGCTATCGTATCAGAATTTCAAAATTAGAACAATGCTCGCTTTTAACAATTGAGTAATATGGATATGTATTTACTTAAGTACGAGTTACTTAATGCAAAACCATTTTAGAAATGGTGTCCTAAAGATTTTACATCTTGAGCTTGTGCTTAATTGAGCATCTCTGGATAAGAGTCTCTTACTAGTGAATCTTTCCCACAGAAAGGCACACAACAGGTTTCTCACCAGTATGAAAGTGCACATACGTGCAAGTTCCTCTTTGCAGAGAATCTCTTTCCTCAAAAAGTTTCTCACCAGCATGAGCAAGCTTGTGCCGACACAAGATCCCCTTTCGAGTAAATTTCTTCTAACCATGGATGTAAATTTCTTCTAATGGAATATTCAAATGGTTTTTCAGCTGTAAAAGCATACGTGTTCATGCACACGTCCCTTTCTAACAAATATTTTCCTACAAACTGATCATCTATACATTTTTCATCGGTGGGGATAAACGAACATCCTAGTAGTATCCCTTTGCAGTAAATCACTTGCTGCAATCCTTTCAAATCCTGCAGGTGACATTGAAAAGGTATCTCATGGATGTTCTAGACACTAGAGTTCTTCATTAACACTCTAGTAAGTCTAGCCTCCCTCTTTCTAAAATCTCTTCCTGCAGATGAGGCATCAACAATGTTCCTCATAGGTAAGGATGTGTGTGGATGCATCTGGACTACCTGTTAACAGCAAACATTTGTCACAGGTATCAAAATTTTAACTGACAACAAGGCACATATTTTAACAGAGCAGTGGCCAAACATTCTGATTTAAAAACGGGTTAATGACATTCACCCAAAAACTATCATGCATGTATACACTCACACGCTCATGTGACACACACAAAGGAATACCCACCCCACCAGCCACACTCCTACACTTTGTGACTTATTATTCTGTTCCATGTACTACTTTAGAATTTTACAAAGAAAACACATTTTATACATCAACTTTTTTTGGCAATTTTTTCTTTTAATTCTGATTTGCAATATTAATTCTGATATTGCAATATTCAGAATGGCTCAGCATATAAATAGGAAGCAGGCATATAAATCAGTTAAATAAAGATGTTCAAACTTTAACTCAAAGAAGTGGATATTGTGAAATAATTGCTCTTAAAAGCAATTTTAAGAATGTCAAAGAAAGAAAAGAGTCCATTTTCACATGTTCTATATGCCCAAGCTTTCTTAATATTCTGCAGTGGGGGGTGCAGGGAGGTCAGGGCCCTCGCTATGTCGCGGCTTAAAAGGACGTAGCAGCTGTGGGCATGAACTTAACTCTAGAACCTAAGTATCTCAACACGCCGTACTATTCAGCGCTGGGCTAGGACTAGGGAGTTTATGTATCAAGAAAATTTGCACGAGTAATAATTACTACCTAATATGCTTCTTCACATGTAAACATAAAAATATCAAATTTGATAGTAGTCTGCTGCCCTTACCTTCTCTTCCTCAAAGCAATCAAGGTAAGTGAACACAAGATTCCTCAGCAAATGTTCACTTTTTGTTACATGAATGAAACTCTCATTTTTTCTACATTGTTGCTCTAATTGACCCTGTTAAGGAAGATATAATTAGTAAAATAACAGAAACTGGCAAACAAATTTAAAATAAATTTTATTTCAATTCCATCCACCCTAACAAATGTTCAATATCTACAATCAAACGTGAAGGAATCAGATAATAATACAAACACTAAAATGCCTAACATGTAATGCATGCAGTTCTACCAATATTAACAGATGTAATAAATCACTCTCTAAAAACAGGTACTACCAGAAACACAGACCTTCTTGTACCAGTTTCCAAATTATTTGGTTTAGGCTAGCTTTTTGATATGGCCCACCCTCTTCCCAAGTCCTACCTATTTGTGCCTGAAGTAGTTTTTCACATTTTCTTAATTTTTCATCTCCCTAATATTTCAATTGAAATAGGACTTTAGAAAAGCAAAATTACTTTTTAGTTCTTCTGGAAAGAAACACGATAGTCATTTTAGTAATCGAAATGAACCATTTCTGATCTAACAAGATTAGGTTCTGATGAGAAAAAAAAATATTTTCATTTACAATTAAGTTTGAATGATACTAAAATAATATTTAAAATTAAACTTTATGCAGTTTTTATAATTATTTATTAAGTAGAGCTAGGATGTTGATGACCTAAATTATATACCCACTTCATGATTTTTACACTGCAAAAAATGTATTTATCAGTAAATTCAATAATTTGCCATAATAAAATATTTGAAATAAATTGAATATTGCAAATCTCTGTTAAGAATCAAAGTTAATATATTATTTATTATTGTGAATAAATATTTTATTAATATTGATTACAATTTATTATTATTGTGTACTTACAATTTATAATCACATTAAAATTCTTTGAATTTTGAGTTGCAACATGCCACAAAGACCATTTTTGGCTTTTCAAACTCAAACGATTTACAATTTTCAACTAGTAAGAACTAAAAATAGAAAGAAAACTATTGAAAAAGTAAACAATGATCTCAAAAATGTCTTTTGCAACCTAAAAATTCCTAAAAAACTTCATCAAAACCCTAGCCTTAATAATAAGATATCATCAATTGTTCTTAAGTAAAGAAAATTCGAATTAAAAATGGCTGAAAAATAACATTATTACTTCGTGCCACCATTTCTCTCGAATTTCCACTGTCGTGGAAATTAAACACTTTTCAGAATAGTTCTCAATGATTTTGAGGTAAAATTCAAAGTTGAAATTTAAACTTAGCAATCTTTCATGTGTGCAAATTTCAAAATTTTATGTGGTCCTCAACAGAGATATTAGTTGAAAATTTGGAAAAATTCCAAAATTTCAATTTTTACAAAGGAGTACTATTTAAGAGGTACACTACTTAACATTAACTAAAATAATATGAGCAAAACCACAGAAAATAAAAGGCAGAAACACTATTCTTTCTTTGAAATAATTACTCACTGATCTTAAATTTGTTCATTGGCATTCCATAGTTTTGGTTGCTAATATTACCAAAATAAAAAAAAATATTAGGTAGATAAATTACACTTGATTTATAGGCCAGTTTCCAAAATCTAAAACATTTTAGTTGAAAAAGCTACAACATAGCGCTGAGGAAAAAATGGACACATTTTTTAGAAAAATTTAAAAATTAGGTTTCATGTAAAATGGGCCTAAAAATCAAAATATCAGTTTCAAATTCACAAGGCCTAAAGTTTGGCAAGATTTATTACAGAACATCAATTCTGAAGAAAAATCTATGAATGATTTCGGTGCTCGTGTTGTCCAAACACAACTAAGATGTTTTGTCATAAAATCAATTTTTCAGTATAAAGGATCCCCCTCTCCCCCCCCCCCCAAAAAAAAGAGAATTCTGACTACATAACATATTAGAGCAATTGATTTACTACATGTAGGAGTAAGAACTAGCCACTACTTCAGTATCGGGGACCCCAATGTGAGTTTTTCATTAGAAAGACTGAAACATCTGCAATATTGCAATACTTTGCTTATAGTATGAACATAATGTAAAATGTTTTAGATTAGATGTTCTAGAATAAATATAACTTTATAATACAATTGACAGATAATTAACATCTTAATCACAAATATTTAATGAACATCTTGCTAAAGACAACATACTGACAAGAGTTGTTACATTACATAACTTTACTAGTTATAATACTTTTGATATGTTTTTATCCATTTATATAACCTCACGAAACAGGGATTGTTTCCATTATAGAATGTTATTTGATTACAATAAAGGAAGTGTTACAACAATTCATTTACATCGTTATCTACTCCCAAAAGTGGACTTAAATTCCCTAATTGTGAAACACAAAGCTTAAATTTCAGTTAACTTTCTTAAATTTTTGGTCGAACGTAGTTTGATATTACGCAAAACAAGCTACTGATACGAATCTAGCACTACTCTTCTTTGGTAGGTTAATGTACACATTAAAACACATGATACATTCAGAAACCCCTTACCTTCTATTTTGGTTGCGCTTCCTACTGGAACTTTGAGCTCTACCTGTCTCATGCCGACACATACGTAAGCCACCTGAACGCAAACGATAACCTTTTAACGAGAAACCCTGCACCAGCCCTACACGCACAACCTCCATGGCTTCCTTACGGTTCGTGTCGGTGGTAGGGACCTCTGTTCAGAGTATTATTCAGAGTTTAGAGAGCCTCTGTTCTGGTAGGGACCAGTAGGGACGATCCGCCCGATTCCACGGTGTGTGATGTTACCCAGGATGTTACCTATATTTCAATAGGGAGTTTGTACCACCTCGAACGTTACAGAACTACCGATTTGCTCATGCGCAGTTACGCGCCATTTTAGTGCACCTATCCATGCGCAGAAGATCGATATTACTGATGTTAAGGCTAGCACTAACTCCCTTTTTTACACTATGGATCCTACCGATTCGATTCTGAAATATATTATTTTCTTTCTATTCCTCTCGAATCGGTATTCGATTCCTTTGCTTCCGATACTTGATGGAATCGATTTCAAAAGGCCGAAATCGAATCAAATGAATACCTTTGATAAAAAAATGTATATTCTGCTTCTCTGTATATCTATGCATACTGTCTTCTTTTCTTGTATTTTTTTAATTTTCTTGAGGTTTGCCCTTATTATTAATATAGTTATTACTTTATATTAATTTTATAGAAGTCCATGCTGTGTTTGAATTCTACCTCCCATTATGCCTCCACCTACCGATTCATTCAAACCAAACGTCTAGGTTCAATTACATTTTTAGAATCTCAATTAAAAAAATGTTTTTCCTGTCTGCATTGTGTTGTATGAAGTTGTGTTTCTTTGATTCCGATACAATATCGTTCATTAGTTCATTCTATTGTTGATGTTACAAAATATTATATTTTTCATTTATGTTCTATTAATATATTGTTTCATTGGTGCATTCTTTTAATTTATTTCAATTGTATTATCCATTAATAATATTTTAATAGTAGTTACGTATTTAATTATTGTTCTTAAAATTTATTTAATTAACATCTAGTTGTATTTTATTTAATGGTAATTGCTCGATCCCGGTGTTAGTACCTTCTTTGAACGGTATTAGGGAGTTTGTGCCACCTCGAACGTTAAAGTACTATCGATCTTCTGCTCATGCGCAGTTCAAGTTTTGCACCATTTCAGTGCATCTACGCATGCACCAGAAGATCGATATTGCCGACGCTAGGACTGACACAAACTCCCTGTTCTCATTTCATTCGATTCCTTAAGGAATCGATACTTTTCTTTCGATTCAATTCGAAATTTCATCGACTCCACTTTTCGATTCTAGAATCAATTCTTTTACAGGAATCGAACGTCCCCACCCACGGTCAATACTATCGATGGAAATAAGGAGGATGGTGGATATGCAACCCACAAGAAGTCATTTTACAATTCGCCACAAGTCTTCCATGAAGGAACCATGGTGGAAGGATCTGCTATAGTACGGTTTTTATAACTCTGCCCGTACTTCACGGTGGCGTTTTAAAAACTAGAATGTATTTAACCGTGCATTAGACGTAAATGAACTGTTCACAGTTTCATCCAATTGGGAACGTGAACGTCCTCACAGTGACGTCACTCACACACACACTCACACACACTCACACACACTCTCACACACTCTCACACACGCACACACTCACACATACTCTCACACACTCTCACACACTCTCACATACTCTCACACACTCTCACACACTCTCTCTCTCTCTCACACACACACACATACACACATACACACACAGATATATATATATATATATATATATATATATATATATATATATATATATATATATATATAAAACACACACACATATATAGTGTGTGACGTCACTATTGAGATTTCGAAAAAAATTATTTGAAGTCATTTGAAACATCTTAACTCACAATTGCAATAGATTAAGATTTAGATTTATTTTAGTAAAGAATGGAAAAACCGGTATGTGACGATGGGGAATATAATTTTCTGCACACGTTTTCTTGAGTTCTAGAATCCCTTCCCGTCATTTTAACGATAAATAGTTGAATGATAACTAAAAGTTTGAAATATATCTATAAAAATAAAATTTATAAATCGCGAGATTAGTAATATTTGAAAAAATAGACATTTTCGTTTCCGAGTTATAGAAAACTTATTTGCATCGGTATAAGAATTGTAAGTATGATTTTTCTGCATTGCTAACAAAGTAGTAACTCGTCCTTAGTTCTTTTCCTACCATTACAAGCTAAAGGAGAATTCAACAAAACGTGCGCATAGTGAAGCTACATTTACATTCAGAAGAAAAAACCAAGGGGCAATCTCAGCATTTGCTCAATAGATCAGGACTACTCGTTCGAGAAGTTTGAAGAAAAAATGCAGAGCCGTTTTTGAGGAAACGGCGTGTGAGCGTTTCTGAAAATTCGGAATTTTGAGCTAGCTTACACAGAAAACTGTTGAGTTTTCGGGAAACTTTATATGACATTATATGAAGCACAAGTACTCATAAATACATTAATGTAAACAAATTGCTTCTATTATAAATATTAACAACGTGAGAGAAAAGTAAAAATTATGATTTCGTAATTTAAAAAAACAACTACAACAAAGAATAGAGCAATATAGCATTTATGTTATCATATACAGTGTATTTACTACTATCCCTACTAAAAGATTGAAGATAAAATTTGGAGCCGTTTTTGAGAAAGTCTTGTTGATGTAATTGTTTTAAATTCCTAAAATTGCATACAATGTTCAAAAACTACCAAAAATTTCAAAAAAATGTACATGACCTTAATGAAAGAAGGACAACCAATTGTATTTGAAGGAAAAACATCTATCCTAAGTTTTGTAGTTGTAGGAAGACGTGGAAAAAATCAAACTTTGAAAATGGTGATAATCGGACTTATGTCAAGTTTATAGGTGTATGTTCCTTTATTCTTACACGAAATTTAAAGAAAAAATTGGAGTCACTTTTGAGAAAATTTTGTAAATGCACCAGGGCTTCATGTAAAGCATTCCCAAATTTTAAAGATTTATATTTCAAGATCTCAAAGCTTCGACGTATGGTTTAGGGCTTAGTAGTGTTCACAGATGAACAGACAGTCGTTTAAAAAAATCAATTTAAAAATGGAAGAACAGTTCTCTTTGCCAATGACATTAATGTTCTTTGCAAAAAAGAAGCAATAAATAGTACGATTTGAGAAGTTTCAAATTATTTTCGTAATAACAAATTAATAGTTAACGAAGGAAAAACGGTTTCAATGCATTTTTGCATTTCAAATCAGCAATCGTAAGAAAATGAAAATGAAAGACGCCGCAAAAATTAAACATTTTTGTAGTTTTTAAAAAATCAGGATATTCAATCGATTTCATCTTCGATCAAGGAGCCATGAAACAGGGATTTTTGCTACACCGCGTGTTAGAGGATTTTATATCTAAATTGAGCATATGAATTTATCAACATTTTCGTTACCAGGATCTGGCAATATGAATTTTTCATCCGAAAATTAGCCTTTTGCCGCAGCATTACACGACTCTCTCTATTGCATAAGCTATAGCGACAAAGTAGAAATATAATTCAGTAACATTTTCAAAAACGTTAAATAATGTCTTGAAAAATCTTGTAATTGAACTTTGGATTAGTAGAATTTAAGTTTTACTCACCTTGAAAAATGATTCGTGAAGAAGTAATTGAATGTTTTGGAATGTGTAAATGTTGAATTCAGTTCCTGTAATTCTTTAACTCGAGACACTGCAAAAACATTCGTAAGACGGCACACTTGGAACAAGACACCAGGCAAGTATATTTTTGCTTAGCATTCATGAAGGTCAAGCAATCTATCAACATTAATTATACGAATTACATAGCCGTGAATAGTTATGAGAAAATACCAAGAAGTTATATTAATTTGATATCGCACTACACATACGATCCCATATACATTTTTACTTTCATGTATCGCCTCCTCATGCCCGTGTTATTCTAACTTCTAAGTGATTTCAACCTCAACGTGTGGTAACTCCACATTATAGATGTTTTCTAAAAAATGTGGTATTTTTTATTTTCAATGGAAAATAAACGTTTTTCTGCACGTGAAAGATAAATAATTACCTTCGATATGCAAACACGGAATAAACTAGCTTGTATGGTAACTGTACATCAAATGGATAGTGTATTGTTTGCGAGGATATAAATCCATTAACTATTTTCCTTTATTTTGACTCTTTTCTTCAGTTTTACCATGATTTTCTTTTACTTTCTCGCATGGCATGTAGTATATAGAAAGTATTGTAATGCTGCGTTAAAAACGAAGATATTTTGAGAGAAAAACTCGTATTGTGAATCCCTGATAACGATAAAGTGCAGTAGATTGTATGGTTTATCAAAAGCCTGATTATACTAATTTCGAAATACTTTTAACAAGAGGGACCACTTGATCGTACAAACTATCGAACGAACAATTTTTTTTAAATTTGAGGGTTCTTCTCATGAAGTCTTAATATTTTCTCAAAGTTTTTACTTCCTAGCCTTACGAATTCTTCATAAGAAGAGAAAATTATGTAATCGTGCGCCCGAGTACGCCAAAATTTAGCAAGAAAAAAACATTATTGCCAGGTTCTGGTAACGAAAAAGTTGATAAATCCTGTTGCTAAATTTAGAAGCAAATCCTCTAATTCGTGATGTGGCGATAATCCATGTTTTATTGGTTCTTGAAAGCGAAAAATCGATTGACGGCGAAACTTCCGTCTGTCCGTTTGTCTGTCTGTCCGTCTGTGGTTAACGCTAGCGCCTATACTGTTCAGCTGATTTTCTTTTAAAATTGATTTTTACTGATCGGTCTTAACGAACTGAAGGCTTTGGGAGTTTCTAACTGATAATTTAATTGTTGAAGGCTCTTTTAAATGAATCTGGTAATTATCTTTTTATTGCTTTATCCGAGTTTGCTCCACCCGGTATCTCTACGGCGAAGTAGTGTGATTCTTGGCACGTTAACTCAGAGTGCCTGAGTTTGAGTGGATTAAATTTTACTTTCTCGTATACTAGTGTGTATACTGAGTAATATACTAAGTATATACACAGTTATGTAATAATTCATAAAATAGATTTCATGATATAAACTAAAATGCACGTTTTGGGGTCCCTTGACAACTAAAAGTTATTTTTTTAAAGTTCTTCCTTTCGTCTGTTCATATGCCAGTCTGTGAACAACACTAGCGCTTACACTATTTGTACGATTTTTTCCAATATGGATATTCGCCGGAAATTCTGGCCCAACTCAAAGCTGTGCAATTTAAAAAAATGGGGCTGCTATGCATGAATCCTTTGGGACATTTTTAACATTTTCTGAAAAATATCTTCAAAGTTTTTCTTTAAATTCCTTGTAAGAAATTTATTGTAATCAAAGTTCTAGATAGAAGCGCAATACATCTCCGCGCATTACGCCCTGAAGGAGGTCGCAGAAGGGCGACTGAAACGTCGGCACTTTCGCCATGGACGCTGCGACACCCGGACAGCCAAGTTAATTACATTCTAGATAGAAATTTGTGGTTATTAAATTTATTGTAAGAAATTCATTAAATTTTAATGTATTATATATCTTGTAAAAATATAGTGAAAAATTCACTTACAAAGATGATATAGGTCCGATTTCCATTGTTAAAAAAGTTTTCGAGAATTACAAAATTTTGAAGTTTTCTGTCTTCCTACAACTACAATATTGAAGATCGAAATTTTGTCCTCAAATGAAATTCGTTCTTCATAATTAGTTGTTTAGTTAACGTTACGTACATTTCTTTGAAACATTTAGTGATTTTCTCGTAGTGAAATATGCACAATATTAACAAAGGTTTAAAAAAAATATTTTCTCAAAAATAGCTACTGGCTTTTATATTTTCGCTCCTGCGTACGCAGTACAGAGAAGTATTTTATGCTGCGGGAAAAATGTGAATTATCAATCAAGATTATCAGATTACCGGTGGTCACAAAAAAGTGGATGAAACTTGACCTTATATGTAGTAAATTAAGGGAAACTGTCGTACCTAGGGACACTTAATGTTTTAATTTTGCCAATTCTTTTTTGGGTATGTCATTGTTGACATACCAGAATAACAATTATTGAACAAAAGGATCTTTAGCCAAAATTATAATATATAACGTGTAAAGGAAAAAGAAATATTCGCTGCTCGGAGCAATGAATTGACATACGATCTTTAAGAACAGTCGAACAGCTCTATTGTTACTTTCTCGTATACGCACGAACACACAGAGTATCATACGTAGTACAGAGAAAGTTACGTAATGCTGCGGAAAATAGATTTCTACTTTTCAACGGAAATACACGTTTTGGGATCCCCTGATACCAAAAAAAGTGAAGTGTATTTTTTCAATTGTCCGTCTGTCCGTCCGTCTGTGAACATCTCCAGCGCCGAAGCCATACTTACGATTTTATTTAAATTGCAGAAATCCCTGACTCGAGTCAAAGCTTTAGGATTTTTTTTAAAATTTGGGAGTACTTTACATGTGACTTTTTCTCAAAAATGGCTACAAATTTTTTCTTTAAAATTCTTGTAAGCATAGAGTAAAATACACTTATAAATGTGGCGTATGTCCTATTTTCAGATTTAATTCCGATTTTTGAAAATTTCAAAATTTTTGGTGTGTCTTCCTACAACTACAAAATTCAATATACAGATTTTTCCTTCAAAATAGTTTTTCCAAGTGAGTTCTTTCATTAATTTCAGGTACATTATTTTGAAATTATTAGTAGTTACTTAGAAATTATTAGTGGTAAATTATTAGTACAATATTACGAGCTATGTGTGGAAATTAAAAAAAATACAAACACAAGATAATCTCAAAAACCAAATTATTTCTTCAAACTTTTCGAAGGAATAGTGCTTTATCAGCTTGCACTTTTAATATGACGCAAAGTTCATTATTTTTGTTTTTTCAAAAATTACAGAAATGTACTTTTTAATGATCTCTCATGCCGGTAATATGCACATTTCCAGCAATTTGTAAACACTATTAAATTTGTGAGTTAAAGTACTTCAAATTACTTTCAATAAATTTTTCGAACACTCAAAAATTTTCTGTGAAAAAGAGCTTCAAATTTTGAATTTAAAGTAGCGCGTAAGGGCCATTGTCTCAAAAAAGGCTCTAAATTTTTCAAAGAAAATTGCCATTTATAACGAAGTTTTACTGTTTTTAATATTTATAAAATAGTATTTCCGTTTTATTTTTAGGGAACGTAAATCCTAAGAAAATTACAAAAAAATGTACTTTGGGTGGCGGTAAATGACAGCTGACAAGAGTATGTGGTAGATTGTTATAGCTAGCCGAAACCAAAGGGAATAGAAAACGAATACGGGGAAGTCTGTGCCATTCTGTAGTACGACTGGTTTCTACTGGTGATTGAGGTCTTTTGTTGTTTCATTTGCTCAGTGGCATGGTTACAGCACATACTGAAACCAATTGAATTCAATTTAATTCTCCGCTGATGTACCTTAGGACGTCCCTTGGTACATCAACAATCACGGTTTCTAGGTACAAGGTAAACCTAGGTTGTGGGTCCTTGAAACAGAAAAATTAATTGACAGCAAAACGTCTGTCTGCCTTTCTCTCTGTCTGTCAGTCCGTCCGTCTGTTCGTCTGTAGTCAATGCTAACGGCTATACAGTTAAGCCGATTTTCTCCAAAATTGATATTCCCCAATCAATCTGGCTGATGTCGCAGCCCCTTAAATTTGCTAACCATATATTGATTTTGGTAAGAATAGAGTGAAATGCAGTTATAAAGACGGCATAGGTCCGATTTTCACTATTAGTTTTGAATTTTTAAAAATTTCAAAAGTCTTAAATTTTATTGCTACAAAATTAAAGATAGATATTTTCCTTTAAATAAAATTGTTCCTGTCATTAAGGTCATATACATTTTTTTGAAATTTTGTTTTCGTACAATATTGCATTAAATATATGCAGTATTAAATAAAAAATATCAGAAACAAGAATTTCTCAGAAACAACTGTAATATTTTCTTTAAAGTTTTGGAATATTGCAAAATATATGGCATAAGATGGCATAAGTCATTTTGCATTTTTTTCAAAAATTACAAAACTATATTGTACTTGTTTCTCACGTCGTTAATTTTTACGTTAGCGGCGATTTTTTCACATTATTGCATTTATAAGTTAATGTCCTGTGAATTATGTCTCAATGATGATGATAACCTCAAAACATAAAAAATGAAAGATATTACGAGAGTTCAGACTATCTTACCTATATGGTTTTGGAGTCGCTGAAACCGATTCTGAAGTCCATTTAAAATCAAATCAGAGTTTGCACATAACCTCAAAAAGTTTTAAAAACCTGTGCCTGCTTGGAGATAAGGCTAGTGATCCAGCGCCAACAATGTAGGCAATCTGCCATACAACAACGTGATGAGTATTCTCCCGTCAGGGACCAATGCCACCTTCTTTATCAATTATAATTGATCTGAATTTTAAAAAAATCTGATGTGGTTAAGTTCAATTGACTTAAGATTTGGTTTCAGCGATCGCAAAAACGTAGGTAACATGGTCTGGCCCCTCGGTTAGAAGCATCTTTCAATTTTTATATTTTTTGATGTTATGTCAAAACTTGATGTAATGGAGCAAAATTGACACCGGATTTGGATTAAGCAACACCAAAAACACATAGAAAACATGGTCTGATCCCCAAACACGAACATATAATTTTTGTGTCTCGTAAACAAATTTTTTTTTTAGTAATGAAAGAATTACTAACTACTCCAATTTATTTGAAATGATAGTTCAATTGACTCACTTTTTAAATCATTTATTGACAACTTGCGGATGGTTCGCAAGTGTTCACCTAGGGTTTTTGTTATTATTATTGTTAATACAAAAAAATTAGTACCGTAATTATCATGTTATTATTATTAAAAATGTTTGTAAATACAAACAATATTACTTTAAATGAAAGGAAGATTTCCAAAAATAACATATGGAAGGCAAGTAAGGATATCGATGTGTAATCAAAACACACGATTTTTAAAACGACTAACTAGGGAACTTTATTCTTATTCATGTCAATTACCCATATCAAGTTCTAATCATATTATTAATCTTTTACAATGAATTTATGCCTGACGTTATTAAACTTCTGTTTTTTTTGTCACGTTCTACCAATGTTCAGCGGATTAGCTGATTTCTTCATTCGACATTTGAGCTCCGCTAGTTGCGTTCCATACATCTCGCTTCGCAAAGTGGCGGCGATAAGACAGGGAAATTAAAATGTCGGTGGCCGCCCAGTTCGTTTAGTCTGGCATGACCTCTTTGTGGCTAAGCAAGAGGAAACGACATTAACGCAACTTCCACTGCCGCCTACTAATTTCCTTGTTTGAGAAGCGAATATAAAATGTAAGTAGTTACTCATTGAATCTGTTCAGGTCTTGCACAAAGGAATACACAATACACAACGGAATAGTAACAGACGAAGATGAACGTCGTTATCTGTAAACAACTACTTTTCGCCTGCCAGTCAACGTTTTCCAAACACGGAAGAATTCCATTTGTTTGATCATCGATTAATCCGATCATAGCAACTTACGTACGATAAATTAACCTAAATGTTTTTGACTTTTGCCAAAATTTTCTACGCAACTGAATTTTTCATGGAGTATACTACAGAAGCGCAAGTATATGCAATGCCAAGCCAATGCAATGCCAATCGAGTTCACGCTGTTGAAGAGAAGTGAAGAAACGTATCACCTTCTGGGCACAACAACTCTGCCTCTGAGGAATCACCCACACCCAGCGGCTCCAACGGGCAGAGCAAAGCGCGCCTGGTGTTTCCGGAAGTTGGACCGTCGGGGTAAGCCCCAATCTTGTACATCATGCAAGTACAATGCGTGTTGCTGTTTGCTGTGGCGCTAGCGCAAGGAGACAAGTTATTGGAAATCCGCAAGTGCTGCGGGGCCTTCGAAATGCTGTCGGGCGACGGACAGTCGTGTGAAGACGCCCCCTGGCTGCCCGCCCCCACCGCCGCCCTCCACGAGCAGGAAGGCAGCGCGGGAGCTCCGCTGGACGCCCAATGGCTGAGTCGCTGGCTTCAGCCCGGCCTCTCGCCCGATCGCGTGGGGGCGGTGTTGCAGCACCACCTGGCGAATATGAGACCGGGGCCGTTACTGCGGGCTGTGTGGACGGAAGAGAAATTGTACGGGAATCGTAGCGTTGCCCCTAAAGAGCTGTTCCTGCGCGGCACCGACTCCTGGCTCCTGGTTCCCGGTTCCGATTCCTTTGAGCTGGGTCACGCCTCAAGTAACATGTACGATATTCTGCTCAGACTAGAGTACTGCATGGATGCGGCTTCATTCCCGCTGAGACCCTTTGAATTGCTTGTGGAACCGGTTTGCGACGTGAATCTTTGCATCACCAAGTGCTGCCCACGAGGGCAGGTGGTGATGACGCAGGGAGGCCGTTGGACATGTGACTCGGAGGAACGAGGAGACTGGTGGCAGGCCAAATCGTGCTTGATCGACCTTCAGGAGCCGTTTTTCTTAAGGTACAGTTTCTGCTGCCAACGTGTTAATTTTTATCAACAAACTGATGATATATAATAAGTCGGGCATTTAAACATATTTTTTCGCCTTTAATTTTGCAAGCGAATACTGATTTTAAGTTTTTCATTTGCCTGGCTAAGTATGCTCTTCCGGGGGTATTATTGTAATTTAATGACGTTACGTATACGAGATCTAAAGATACTATAACAAGTAAAGTAGGTAGGGAACTACACGTTATTTACGTAATACGAGTACCTAAACAATACAGGCATATTTTTCAAAAATGCGTAATTACCACTCAATCTGTTGACAGTTGTGTCCCTGAAAATTTCAAATATCTTTTAATATTAAAATGTGCTTTGAACGAAGCTCAAATCTTGATTTAATTTTTTTAAAACTGCTGTACATTTTGGCTTTATTTTTTATTTGAATAGGATAATATATGTTATAAATGATGTCCCACGTTTTTATCAAAAGATTTAAACATTCAATAATCTATATTTTCAATACTTCCTATATTAATAAGCAAGAGGATTTTCCTTAATGTAACTGATTCTTTCCTATTGAGAACTTACGTTAAGACGTAAAGTATTTTAAAGTAACATGTAGTTTTATTGTAGTTTTCAATTAGTTTGTATCAATTTTCAAAAAAAGAGATTAAAAAAAAACTCACAGAAATTTTTCTTTCAAGTAAACTTTGATCTGCATTTTTGATTATTTTATTAAGATCAGGCATATTTGATTGAAACTTTTAGTAGTTTTCGCGCAATTTTGCCAGAAAAATGTACAATATTAACAAATAACAAAAACAAGATTTTCTCGAAAACTGCTCCAATTTTTTTTCTTTAAACTCTTGGTGGGGATAGTTCCTAATCTACTCTATGAGATGACATAAACGACATATTTCTTAATTCATTTATTTTTCGAAATTACAAAAATTTATTTTTTTGACTCGTAAGTAATATTATACATTATTATGATAAATAATATTTACATTATCTCTACATTATATTTAGACGATTTGTTTGCGTTATTGAATTATTGAGTACACGCGCTTAAAATAATGTTACATTAAGTTTCTCAAAAATTTAACAGTTTTCTCTAAACATTAGCTCAAAATTTTGGAAACGCTCAAATACCATTTTTTTTAAAAAATGGCTTCAAATATTTTCTTCTAAATTTTTCTACGGAGAGTGCTAATTGCATTGTATAATATGACATAAAGATCATTTTGGGGTATTCTTTGCTTTTTTTTCAAAAATTACCTAACTGTAATTTAAAAAATACATATGTCTTCCGCCGTTAATGTCTATTTCCAGCAATATGTAAACACTATTGCATTTGCGAGTTGAAATGTTTCAAATGACTTCTAACAAAGTGTTTCATAAGCTCAAACATGTTTTTGAACAAAAGATTCCAATCTCTCATTTTAAGTGAGGCTTAAATGCCGTTTTATTAAATACGATTTCAACTTTTTCAATGAAAATTGACAATTAGGACGAGGACTTACACTTTCTTTTATGATCTTAAAATATGATTTCAATTATACAGTAAGGACAAAGAAAATTTAGAAAATTAAAAAAAAAAAGAATAGATTGGGCGGCTATAGATAGCAGCTGGCAAGAGTATATTGCAAGAGCAAAAATCTAAGCCAGACCAAAGAAATGAGGAAAAATATCTAGTACGAGAAAGTGTGTGCCATTCTGTAGCACTAGTTACTGTCTCGTATACGTACGGAGTAATATACGCAGCATAGAGAAAGTTATGTAATACTGCACAAAAAACGGCGGATTATCGACAAAAAAATCCAGTACCGGGGTCTGATTACGAAAAAGTGGATATATCGAGTCATTAAATTGAGAAAAACTAATGGTGCTACACAATGGCACAGACTTTCACGCATTAGTTTTCTCTTTTCTTTGGACTGGGCTAACTATTCGGACTTGTCATATACTCTTGCCATCTATCGCTGTCCAAAGAAGATGTTTTTGAAATTTCCTCACGTTTTATGTTTTCTAATAGTAGAATGGAAATATTATTTCAATAATATTAAAGAACACTAAAGCTGCGTCCTAAATGGCAATTTCATTGCAAAAGTTGGAGACGTTTTTAAGAAAATGGCGTTTAAGCGCTACTCTAAATTCGAAATTTGATCCTCTTTTTACAGAAAACTGTTTAGTTCTCGAAAAACTTCAATTGAAATCGTTTGAAGCAAATTAACTCACAAATACAATAGTGTTTACAAATTGCTGGAAATGTGAATATTAATGGCGTAAGAGATTTTTCAAATATATTACATTTGTGTAATTTTAAAAAAATAGTCCGAAATGAACACTACGTCATATTAAAGATTGCAATCCGACCAAGCACTATCAGTTCGAAAAGTTTGAAAAATAATTTGGAGCTGTATTCGAGAAAATGACGTTTGTGCTTTTCTGAAAATGCGGATTTTTGAGCTAATTTTCACAGAGAACTACTGGGTTTTCTGTAAATTTTATCTGACATTATTTAAAGCACATTTACTCATAAATACATTAATGAAAATTTTACCATTAATGTTAAAATCAACCACGTGAGAGACAAGTCAAAACAATACATTTTTGTATTAAAAAACATTAAATTGGAGCTATAAAGCGTTAATGTCATAGAGTGAATTTAGTACTTTCCCTACCAAAAGTTAAAAGAAAAAAATTGGAGCCGGATTTGAGAAGAGCATTTTGTAGTTGCAAAATGATGGTCAAAAAATTTTGAAATTGTGAATTTTTAGAAAATTCGTAGTTAAACCTGCAAATCGGACCTACGCCACCATTATAAGTGTATATTACTCTAATCTTACAAGCAATTGAAAGAACAACTTAAGTCATTTTTGAGATAATTTTGAAAATGCACCAGGGGCTTCATGTAAAGTACGCTCAAATTGTAAAGAATGTTTTTTAGAAGCTCAACAACTCGACTCGAGCCAGATGGACCCCAGTTTCTTCAATTTGGAAAAAATCCTACGCATGGTTACGGGAGTAGTGGTGTTTACAGACAGACGTTTTGAAAAGAACCACATTTTCGGTATCAGGGGACCCCAATACGCGTATTTCCATTGAAATGTGAAATCGATTTTCCGCAACATTACATAACTTTCCCTATACTATGTATGTACGTACACGGGAAAATAACAATCCTCTAACTCGTGGTGCAACCAGAATCTCAGTTTTATGGGTTCTCGATACCGAACTAGTGGTGCTACAGAATGGCACAGACTTTCCCTTATTAGCTTTCTATTTCCTTTGGCCTCGGCTAGCTATTCGAACTTGCCACGTACTATTGCCAACTGTTATCGCCGCCCAAAGTACACAACTTCAGGAATTAGTTTGGCGCTTTCTATGTTCGATGACGAAAGGAACAGAATAAAATATGTAAACGTAATTTTGATTATATTTATACATAACACAAATATGTAATTTTAAGTATTTCCCACGTTTTTAATACGAGTATTTACAGTACGGCATTTACTATACATGAACTGCATTTGTGAACAAAAGTGCTTTAAATGTTTTTTTGGAGTTTATTCGAAGCTCAAAACGTTTCTGTGAAAGGAGCTCAATATTGTGCATTTCCAGAAAAGCCCAAACAACATTTTCTGAAGAACGACTTCAAATTTATCAATAAAACTTTGCCTATATTGGTATACATTTATCAATAAAAGTTTGGAAAAATTAGGGATTTCAAAACCATGAAACCTGTAACATTCTCTTTGCCGCTCTTCACGCTATTCGAGAACAAAGTTTAATAAAAATCTTTGAAAGTATTTTTGAGAAAATTTTGAAAAAGTGTTTGAGGCTTTATGAAAAGTGCTCTATAAAATTCTAATATCCATCTGAAACTCCCAAAGCTGTGAGGTCATTGAGATCGATCAGAGAATATCAATTTTGAAAAAAAGTCGGCAGAACGGTTTTTTCCTTCTGTAATATTCTTAAAGCCACTTTTCAATACCTGTGGGAGTAAAATTTGAGAAAATGTGGAAATTGTTGGTTTTTGCGCTGATAGGTATTATTACGAGGAGAAATGCTGTCTGTAACACTCTAGATGGCAACTGTTTTAGGCTTTACATTTTACATTTTCGTTATTTAATTGCTACAAAGGCAACATTATCCTTGCAAGAATTAAAATATCACTCATGTTTACGTATTATCCATCACCCAACAATTAAAACATCATACATATTCTCTTTCCCAAGACTGAAACATATTTAAGCCAGAACTTTACGCTGCTTGTACACAAAAAACATTGGTCTTTGTGCGCCGTTCCTGAAATTCCTTTTTCTTTCCTCACAGAGGCTGGAACGCATCTTTTGAAAATGTGTCTGGCCTGGCGCGGGATCTCACCTTGGATCCCGAGGAGGCTTGGGCAGCCCGTTTATTGCGAGACCGCTATCACTTCGTCATCTTCTCCGGTTGGGACGCGTGCATCGATCTGAAACGCAGTGAGGACGGAACCCTGCGCTACACGCTCTTCTACTGGGAGAACTCTAGAGGCGCCGGGAGTGACAATGGAATGCCTCGATACCTGTACTTCGTACCTGTTGCGCTGTTGGTGGTTTCTCTTTGCAACATTGTTCGCGACAGAGGCTTTCGCACTCGTGCTTATGGTTGGTGCGTGGTCTGCTACGGTGCATGCCTTCTAGGGTTCGATATAGGGCAGTTGACCTATTATATGTCAATTGGCGAAGAAATTAACGATTTGAGACTCGCGCCTCCCCATCTGACGAAGATTTGCCTTCATTTTGGTAAGCTATTCGTCAAATGTGGACATTTTTTTCTGCCCCGCCCGCAAAATTTAACCAATACTTAAATATTTGCTTTTACAGAATAAGACAAAACAGAATCGCAGGATATTAATTAGACAGAAGAAGAGGTTCTCTTTTTCTGTCTAATTAACTTACATTTATGATATAATACATTTCTACAACTTCAATTCATAAAAAGTTTTATACAACAGTAATTATTTCTCATAATAATAAAGAGTTATGTTATGCTATGTTATGTGGTGGTAGATGATGTAATGGTGGTGGTAAATGAGGTGTAGTGGTGGCAGTAGGGGTGGTGTTGGAGGTGGTGGTGGTGTAGTGACAACAAATTTGTTTCACTAGCAACGTAGTCTCTTCGAAATTATTTTGTGGACTTTCTTTTGAAATGGCATAAGTGAAAACGGAATTATATTTTTCATTCTTCTTACTTGTGTAAACTCTCTCTCTCTCTCTCTGTATATATATATATATATATATATATATATATATATATATATATATATATATATATATATGGCGATAATCGCGCTCATAAAAACTGTTCAAAGGATTGGTTGTGTCGGTCGCTTAATGGTTAGAGCAGGCTTTGAATCCCGCTCAAGGCAACCAATTCTTTGACCAAATTTAATTATATATTTTTTTGAGTTTGGAAATGTTTTATATCACACAATATCATCATCATCATCATTCATAGCTTGAATATTTCTGAAATATTTACTTACTCTTTTTTCCTTGCAGCGTTTCCAATGTACTTCATGCTGATGGCCGCCAATTGTTGGCGCACTGCTGTTTGCATTCACACGGATCTGGTTTCGTTCAGGTAAAGGAAGCTGCTATTCAAAATATGTGGCTTTGCAAAATTCTGGAAAAAAATTAACTTATAATTCACAAAATCAAAACGATAATAGTTTGAAACTAGTAGTGAAATTAAATATCACAAACATTCTCGCATTAGTCAGTTTCCTATTCTCTAACATCTGGACTAGCTTATGGGTTTTATCGTACCCTTATTACAGCGGCTTCTTATCGACTCCTTAAAAATATGTTCACGTTTTTATAATTATTTTTCAGTGTCTTATTATTAGATTTGAAATATGACTTATGAATTTTTTGAAAGAATAAAATATGTACATATAAGCAAATTTTCAATGAAAAATTTGGACTATGTTTTTGATAAAATGTTTGAGAGTTCGCGAAAATGAGTAATTTTGATCTAATTTTTACAGAAAAAAATGGTGTGTTCGATAAACTTCATTAAAAATCAGTTTAAACACTTCTTCTCAAAACCCAGTAATGAATAAAAAAGCACTCAATGAAAATATTCAGAACGTGAGAGATATTGAAAAAACAATGTACATTTTTGGAAAATACTAGATAAATTACATTACCGACCTCCTATAGGAGACACCGCCGTATGGTCGCTCTGACCGTGCGGGCGGGGAGATCCGTGTGCTCTGACGAAACTATGACAAGACTAGCATTGCTGATGGGTTGATCAATTTATTAGTACTGCTATTGGCTGTACAGAGCTCAGTTGAGGAGCCAAACGAAGGGTCGTCTCACGACGCACCATCAGTATCAACTCCTACCTTATGCCCTCATCACACAGCACCACATTCAATATTCTCCCCGACCCTTCATGGGCGGTACTGTTGCAGATCGTACCCCTTGTAGTGTAGCACTTTTCCCACTTACTTGTGGCTCACTTCTTCTGCATGTGACTATGTGGCCATTCTAGACTCATCGTGATTTTTTCGACCCCGCCACTGTTAGTTTTCGTCCACCAGGGAGTCGTTTATTTCTCTTCTTTGTCTTTTCTCATCCTTTTTTCTTCTTTCCTATATCTTTTAGTTCATCTCTCTGACTAAAAGGTAGACCTTCAATCTTTCTCAACCCACTCCTAACCGAAGCTACTTTATGCGGCAGAAGCGATATACTGACTCCTCTTTCATTCAAAGGAGGAAAGGAATGAATTGACTTTACAAATGCTCAGACGCAGTCTACAGCCATAGAGAAGACAGTACGTCTAGGCGGAGCAACCCGAGTAAATCGCCCTGCGGGTTTGGAGGCATTGACGTAGCGCCTCACAAAAAATCTTACCCTGCGTGGCGCTCGTCACGCAACCAGAGGAAATGTATATTACCAATAATCTTAAATCTTGAATCTATGCTCTCGTGTCACAATGGCGAAGTCACTTGTCTTACACTACTCAGGGTCCGGGTTCGATTCCAGTAGAATCCCTGTAGAAACTCATGTGAAATGTTTTACGACAAAACGAGTTTGCGTGTTTCACAGGGGCTGGTCCTACCCCTGTGAAGCGTCCTAAACCTTACTCCTGTCCTTATGCCATGTCTTGGCGCATACGCGGAGATGCTATCTGGCGGTCCTCTTGACAACTGTCTGAGAGGAGGCGTTTCGGATAATGTTAATTAATGGAGGATTACTCCCGCGCAGCAATAATTGGATGATTACTCCAAAACCGCGAAGCGCTCAATGCCCCCTAAGGTGCTTGGAGACACTTTGCGTCTAGGTTGGCGCAACAAATTTGTTTGAAGACAAGAACAACCGGCCTGATAACATTAAAACAACCTCTGCTAAGAATAAGGTTAAACGAAAACCTGCAATTGCGGGTCATTTGAAGATCTCCATCTGAAATATGAGAGCCATGACTTATAAAAAAAATGATGATGGAACTTCACAGGTTTAATCAGACATATGTATTATAACTGACACCAAAACGAAACATCAAAACAGTTGATTTGGGGAGGCAATTTATTATTTTTATAGCAGGTTCCGACAAAATGCAAGAGCATCTGCTGGTATAGCATTGATGTTAAAACATACCTGGAGAAATTATAGTCATAGCTATGGTTTTATATCTGAATGAATAATATACACAAGATTAAAAATTACTAGAGTGTATCTGGCAATATTAGGTTGAATGATTTCGGGCGCGTCAACTGCTAAGGACATTAGTCCCGCAAATGAAGTACATGTGCTTTCCTCGGAAGAAGGTGGTGCTCTTCCCTCACTGGATGGAGAAATCCGATGCCACCTACCGTCGGGTAGCGGGGTTTTCCTCAAACAGGTATCTCCCATCAGCAGGGCACCGCCGAAGCCCGGGGAAAGCTCTAAGCTCCTCACCCGGCATAGTGGGAGTGCTTTGTAGTGTTTTGAATACGTAAAGGCTGAGAAAAAGACAAGGAAGAGTTAGGAAAGATCGCGCACGGTCCGTGACCCGTTTGTTCGGCTCCGGTATTCTGCTTGTGTTGATCGGCGAATCCACTGAAAACGATCGATTAGAGCATCGGCCTCCAGAATTCTCCTCCTGACAGCCACAGAATGCGATCTAGCTAACAAGCTAGTTCCAAAACTCTTGCCACTGTCGGGACATTCCGGCCAGAGGCACTGCAGTGACATCAGTTGTCCTGAGACACCTCTCCCAGAGACAATATTAGGGATATAAGCTTCTGAGAGGAAAGTGGAAGAAAGTGTAACGTTTTTTGATTCATTGCAGAAACATGAGAGAGTTCATTATCATAGTAGGGGGTTTTAATGCAAGAAATGGGAACCAGCTGATAGAAAAAAGTAATAGGATATAATGGAGAAAGTACGCTGAATGAAAATGGCAAAACACTAATCAGTAAAGAATTAAAAGCAGCAAAAATATTTTGAACCACAAATATACCAGGACGTCCCGAGATACAAAATCAATCATTGATTGTTTTAGTAAAGGCTTCTTCAGTCCATTTTGTTGGTTTTATTTCAATTCCATCTCGATCAGGTTTTTGTCTAGTTTCCCTGATCCATTGAGCAAGTGCTGAGATGGACCCTTGTTTTGCTTCTGAACGTAAATGTAGTTTCACTATGGGCACGTTTCGTTGAACTCTCCTTTTGCTTGTAATGATATGAGAAGAGGTAAGGGCGAGTTACTATTTTGTTAGCAATGCAGAAAAAATATACTTGCAATTCGTTTACCAGTGCCACGATAGTGATATGTTCATTATATATTTCCAGATGAATAATACTTACACCTTATTAAAATTGTAAAAGTAATTTAATTTTTTAAAATTATTATTAAATGTATTAAACTATTACATATTATTCCGGATAGGCAGTGCCTACCTTGTATTGGTATTGTGGTGAGCTGCTATTGGTAGCTGCTATTGTAATAAATAATATTGTTGGCAATGACGACTCATATAATTATTTCAGTGCCTACCTCGGCGACCCCAAAGATCCGTCATTGAGTAGGGGCAGACCAATAAGGTAATGGAAGGATTTTCTTGGAGACTGAACGGTCCAAAAAGATTAACACAGAATGATAATGGCATGTTACGAGTATTTCAGTGCATTAGCACTACCCGAAGAAAACTTTAAGAATGCATTTGGAACCCTGTTTGAGAGTATCTTGTTTTTACTTACTTTAAAGGGAAACTTTAATTTAAATGTTTACGTGTGCCACAGAATGGCGTACGTGAACAGACGACCCTCGCGGAAGAGTTTTTATGTGCTGTCCGCCTTCTCATGGGGGTTGCCGGCGCTCTTGACTGGCTTATGTGTCTATTCATTTGAGCATGACTCAGATTTACGAAAGTGGTACAGTCCAACTTTAGCAGAAACGCGGACGTGTTTCAGTGAGGTCGTTTCACGGTATAATTCATCAGGTAATATTTAAAACTGATATTCAATATTTTCAATATTCTCCTTTCCAACAAATATATCACTGAATATAAAAGAATTTAATATATGTTTAGAATATATCAATGAATACATTCAAACTTAACGTTTGATATGTCAAATAAATCGAACAATAATAACAATGATACTATTATAATAATATTGTATTGCAATAATAACAATGAAATTTATCTTTGCGAAATTTACTATTTACAGGACATTACTTATCGTCTTCATACAAATCAGGGACTGCGTTATTCTATTACGGGCCTGTGTTGTTATTAACTTTTGTGAGTACTATCTGCATTATTCGTACACTCAGAAAATTTCAGTCCCTACTGCGAGGCAACTCCGTTCTTCAAAGAGAAGTGAACCAGGAGCAAGAGGAGCATCAGACAAAGAAACAAAACTCATGTTTAGAAGAAACATTTCCCAGGTATGCATGGCAAATTTCAATTTCCAAGTGCAAATACGTACGTCCTTAACCCGGGAGACTTGCATCTTGCTTACGAACTTTACTGGTAGCCTGGGAGAAAACGGACCCCGTTTTTAATATAATGTGAGTTAATATAATTCGGTATTCATATGCCTGTTACTTCCTTTATTTAGTTTACAGAATCTTTTTCATTTAAAATTATTAATAAAATGTGTAAAATTCATCTAATACTTTGGTGCATAAAATTCAGTAATGCAAAATAAATTCTTAAACATGACAAAAATTAATTTGAGAATGTATGTGTTAATGTCAGGTATCAATTTTTACTCAATATTTACAAAAAACATTGAATAAGATTTGCTTTCTATTATTTTCTCTCTTTTCACGTTAACGGGATAATTTGCGTTCCAAATTTCTGAGATAAATATTACATCTTATCTTGTTAGTTTTCTTTCTTGGAATTTATGATTTTTGTGTTAGTTCTGAATTTCAAATGTTGTGCTAATTTAGGTATGAACTCTCATAAATATACTGTTAGTATTGATCTCAGAATATACCAGTACGATTGGCGTATACGAATAGGTGAATACAATGCAAAATTTCTTCAGCAGTCCTTTTTTCTGGTAATTTCTGGAAGTATCAATAATGTATTAACCTCCTGAAATACAGCCTCCAACCATTGATGCGTAGTAGGTTTGGCAGGTAAAATATTAAGGGAAAGGTACTGCAAATCACAAAAGCATACAATGTTTCCATTCAAAAATGTACGTAAAATAATAAAGCCTGGGGTCCAAATTCTCCCACGTGTCTCCTTCCGGGTTAACTACTCCTGGAAAAAATTGAAATTTTGATTTATTTTCTCTCTAATATAAAGTATTTGTTACAGGATGAAACTGTACTTTAAAATGTTTCTGATGTCAGGAATCATAGAGACCCTATTGGAATTCACGGTCTGGATGACATGCTATTACTCGAATGAACAAGATTTCCTGTTGTATGATCATATGCTATTGTATCGCGCCGCATGCTACTTGGTCGACGTCTTCCGGACAGCGTTCGTGGCCTGGTCGGCTGCACAGGTGGAAGACGCGAAGTGGTGCGGGTGTAGGTGTAAAACATGGAGTGCATGCAGGGGCGCGGGCGGGGGTGAGGGCGGGGAGGAATTGGAAATGCGGGTGCTGGGCGAGGAGGCATCGGCCAGGGAGGCGCCTGGTGGAGAAACGTAGGACAGAATGACATTGGGGGACAGGACAAACAGAGTGATACTTGGGGAAATAAATTACATAAGAATTCAATCTATTTTTCTGTCATCACTATTAGAGTTCGCGCAAGATGTATGCACTTGACGACCTGCGCGAGCGGGACTCGCGAGAAGGGAGGCAGCACGTACGCAGAAGAGCCATCTAAGCATATTGTAGCTGTTCAGAAAACGTCGGGTAGCGTACTAGGAATTTTAATAGCCCAGAAATATGTTTATTTGGTTACATTTATTTGGTTAGTGTTTGGTTCCATTGGATTTCTTGCGTGTTTTCGTACACGAAATTTGAATGTATTTGTTTGTGCTGATGTAATTTGTCCAAAGCTAGGAAGTCGATGTTTTTGAGACAGCATTCAGTGTACCCGTCTCCCTCCTCGGAGATGACATCTCGCGCAAAGTCTAAGATGGTTAAAAACATTATGTATATATATTTAAAATTTAAGCACTATTAGGTTAATTTGTAATACTTTGCACACTATGTCTCTCTCTCTCTCTCTCTCTCTCTCTCTCTCTCTCTCTCTCTGTATATATAATGTATTCCCAAATTAATTGAAGGATTTTCTGTACAAAAGCTATAAAACCATTGACCATAGCTTCCTATGCTGAATCATTCTCAGTGCCGATCGACTACCGCTTCCTTAAGCTAGCCTTTTCGACTGACAAGGCAGCAACTAAGCACTGATTTATAAGAAATCATTAATACGCACTAGTAAAGAGCAAATATTACTTTAACGCCTTTGGCTAAATCAATATTGATCATTCAGAACTTTCTTAAAAGACCTGGTATGAACGTGTATGATTGTTGAAGTAAATAAATTTCAAAATATAAGATATGTCACTAAAGGAGCAAACATGTATTATGGTTTAATTAGAATACATTATTTAATGACATATGAAATTCAAAGAATTGTAATAGAAAAATACATTGTTACGTGAAATAAATAAAACATTTTTCAATGTGAATGTGGTGTTTTTCAATTTTACTTAATTTTATTTTTTTAATTTTTTATTTAACAGATACCTTTCCCCAATGCAACGCTCCGTATCCTCAATTATTAATTTATGGAATTAATGAAGGATCTCTTTTATTTTTAACATAATCTCGCTCGACATATAGTGGAAAACTTCACCAATTAGTTCATAATAAAAATATAGATAACTAATTATTAAAATAAAAACTAGAAGAGCTGTAACAGCACATTAATTCTCGCATAGTTTCTAAACTAATTTTCCAACATTTGGACTGTTCAATGATATTAAGACCTGGAATCTCTTGTCAAGTGTTTCGTTCTATCAGTGGGGAAAACTAACGTGGTTTAAAAAAATGTTCCTATAAATTGCACTGATTTCAAGCCAAAATTACGCAAAAAATACTGATTTATTAAAAAAATTGTACATAACCTTGTTTAAAGATCCGAGTTTTTAACGCAGATTTTGATTAAAGGAAATATCAGTATTTTCAGTTTTGTAACATTTAAATGTTAACATTTTTTTAATTTTCGAAAATATAGTGTTCGCCGCAAATGTGAACATTTTTGTAAGTGTACAAAAGTAAAACCACCGAGGACCATTGCCACATGTCAATACTTTGCTAGTGTGCAATTGTTTATTTATGGCTTCCTCACATCATTCTTTATAATTTACGTACAAATTATTTCAAAAGGAAAAATATTGTGTTTGAGGTAAATAAAATATTCTCACTCTTCAAGGAAGTTTTAGAACCAGAGCACTGGTAAAGAATTCACAATTTGTGTGCCAGTAAAACTCTTACTACAACATAATAGAAACAATAACAATACATATAATAATAGAAATTCCAACATTCGCAGCAAAACAATTTACATGGAATTTACCATGTTTTAAATTTGTCTATAACACAGTACCTCTAGTACATTTGCTGGAAGTTTGTTCTAGTCTAATACGGTTTATTCACAAAAGAGAACATAACTGCGTGACTCCTTTTTTCTACGTCGTATCTTGTAACAATGATTCACTCTACTCTTGTGAGCCGGTTTCTGTTATCTATTACATATACGTGCCCATTTTACGACCCCTTTCATGCTTTGAACATTACATACAAATATATTCGATCGCTTCTCATTTCTACCGATTCCCATACTACTCTCAGCTTCGCTCCTGATTAAGAATATTTTCTGTCCGTTTCTGAGTTTTATCTCACCCATCAATTTGTCCTTTTCTATAAGGATCTCAGCATGCCGCTTGGTATTCTAGAGCATGAACAAGTGTAGCGTATGCTACGAACTGCCGGGCCTTTTATCTTATACTTGTTAGAAAAGCGCATAATGAAGTTCAGAAACGTTTCGAGATTCAATTACGGCAGAATTCTCGTTTGTGCTGTGTTAGAAGCGTAGAGAAGATATACTATATTAGCAATGCCGGAAGATAGAACAGAATGATATTTGGCTTGAACAAGGAGCGAGAAATTTCTGATGGCAATCGCAATTAAATCTTCTGATAGTGTAGTTGCTTCTATCCATAATATGCGTAATATTTAAGTTTGTAATCTGTTTCAAGCGACATGGTATTTTTGTCTTGTCATCACATTCCAGTGACATTATCATGATTTTTGCGTTTTGAGATTTAGAGTTGGTGTTTGTATGGTCTTTTCTTTAACACAAAGCAAACATCTAGAATAAAAGTATTCCCCAGGTGAGGCTCGAACTCACAACCCCGGCATATCTCAGTTACTGTCCTATAAGTACCGTGCGCTAACCAATTGCGCCACTGGGGACTACGAGACCCTCTGCATTTCCCTACACTCACGGCGTCGTGCTCGTGTATTTGGGGATGCATTTGGATGAAATCTGTGCCGAAATACATGAATGTTACCCCGGAAAATGGCAGTGGAAAGAAACAACCGCTCATTCAGTGGAATGCAAAATGTACGGTTTAGACGGAAGAAAATACATCATTTCGTGCTTATACGTTAGCAAACAATATCTACAAGAACAAGTGTAAATTAACCGTTTAGTTTATTTACACTCGTACGAATGTTTGTTTGTTGCATATGTATTATTTGAAAATGTAAATTTTGTAAGCAATGCTCCGAAACGTTGGATACATTTTCTTCTATTTTTTCCCGAAAATAAATATAATATAAAAAATGTTAATAAAACCACTATACTATACCGATAGGAATAGCATATTTATTTCAGCCCAAAATATTCTTGAAGGGCCTTTGTTAGTTTTGCCGTTTAGGGCAATACTATGTACTACTACCCAAGAAAAAATATATATCACAGTAAATCACATATTGTCTTTCTTCAGAAATTTATGTTTTTAGTAGCTATCTATATGCCATTGCGTTTTTTTATTTATGTGACAAATTATTAAGCAACGAGTTAACAAACGTGTTATTTTTGAAGGCGCCGTTAATAATCATAATTTAAACTTAAACTGCAAAAGAAGTGATTCCAGAGGAAAAATAATTGGTGATTTGTAGGAAAGAAGACCTATTAACATTAAATGAAGGTAATAAACGTACATACTTTAATGCGTCAACAGAAACTACAAATGTCATATAATGAAAAACAGGTCAACCTGCGTGTAATATATTGTAGTATTTAAAACCAACGGTGTAATGTCAGGATAATGTATTTGTAAGGTGTTTGTAAATGTATAGTATTGTAATGTATTGTAAATGTAATGAGAATGAGGTCGCTAATAACAAAGTAATTGGTACGACCTAAAATAAATGTATTATCTATCTAGATTCGGTTAAAATTCTAATGTTATATTGACTGAGTTACTATGTCTCGTGTACTGTACCTGCAGTCGTTATTTGATGGTCAACCATTGGAATATTCCAGAGATCGTAATATTTATATAGAATACTTTTAAAAAGTTACTAATTTCTATTTGCTTTTTTCCAATGCTCTAATGCTTGCTTAAATACGTATAAGGTTAACGAACAATATTGAAATTTGTTTCTATGATGTTTTCTTTATATTCGTTTGTGAGATTCAGAAAATCGAATTTTGCTATCTCGCTTACAAAAATATAGTATGAAGCTACGTAGGGGAAAAATTGATGTCAATATTTAAACGGAAATACGCGTTCTGCGAAGAAGGGAGGAATCTCGATACCGAATAAATGCTTTTGTGTCAAAACATCTGTCTGCCGGTCCCTCTGTGAACCACATGAACTAGAGCTGGGAGTTCATGCGAGAGTTTAGCCCTGATATTTGCTTACACATATTACACAAAAGTGTTCAAATATGCACATAAATTTTAAAGACATGCAGGATTTGGTCACAAAAACGTTTATTACAATTACACCTTACAAAACAGAGTAATATCTACTTCTACATTTTTTTGGGTTAAGATCGCAGAAAGCTACGAGAATTTAATCAGATTATCGGTTGTTAGGGAGTGTCTATCAGACAATATCATTTTGTTCGAAAAAAAACACGATCTCTTCATATTACATGATGTTATAGGTGTGAACTTACATTTTGACGTGGTTGTGCTCAATACATTATCTAGAAGAGGAACTATGTTCTCCGAAGAGTTTACCCACCGTCTGTTAAGTCGGAAGTTCTATATTCTTTTCCAAAACTTTATTAGTTACCCAGTCTCATCCGGAACTGCCACCAATTTATCCTTTGTCTCCTGAATAAATGCAAGTACGTAAACTAAGGTTTATCTTGAATTCTCCGTCTTCTGTATTGAATTTGGAGTCTTCTATTGCTCAACACTTCCTTGGTCATCTTTATTGAATTTGGAGTCTTCTATTGCTCAACACTTCCTTGGTTCTCTCCATGGAAGCAGCCTCATTCTCATTCAGCACGTTAACCACTCCTTTAACCTTCTCCGGTTGCTTTGCTTCGATTACAACTGCGTCTACCCAGGTGTCTCACTGAATAATAATAGCGGAGTCGCGATTCTTTTTCTGTAGGGGGAAGGGTTGGGAATAAAGATATCTTGCCAGGCAAGGTCAAAGAAAGAGGTTGAAGGAAAGTACGAACTGTCGTCTTGGCGATAAACTGATGTCAGCAGAAATTACTTACGCTTCATTCCCTATCTGAAACTCACTGAACCTCATTCAACCGATTATTTGAAGCATCAAAAAAGTTCTTGCTTTTTTATTAATAAATATTTTAAAGTGAATATTATTTTAGGAAAAATCCGAAAAATACCCCAAAACTTTAATTCATGTGCAATAAAGCTCTAAATATGCAAAATATACATTATATGCAAAACATTTCTTACCTTATTTTCAATATTCTGCCAGGAGAAAATACATATTTCAAGTTTCAGGAAAATAAGTTTGTGTTGGGTTATCGTAAGGGTAATCAAATATAAATAATAAATTTCTACAATTATAAATTAGAACGATAGCAACAATACGGATATAGAAAAGAAACCGAGGTGAGCTTTATTTTGGAAACAATACAAGGAAAGGACAACGGAATTGATAGAGGGGAAAATACATAATATGGTAACAAATAATGCAGTGAAAGGACTTGTGAGCAAATTCCATGGGGCAGAAAATAAATTAAGAAGTTATTACCAGCAGGAAACCAAATAATGATTAGATAATATGCTGAAATGTGTGGTGTGAATAAGTTAGATTGTGTGATAAGAATCGAAGGATCGGCGCACGAGAAACGAATAAGAGACGTGTTTGAGTATAATTTCGCGCAGACGAGAGATTCAAGGTAGGTTTAATAGGAGTATAATTTCGTACGAGATTATTCTGATATGTTAGGAAAAAACTTTGCCCGAACAGGGACTTGAACCCTGGACCCTTAGGTTAAAAGCCTAATGCTCTACCGACTGAGCTATCCGGGCCTACTGGAGTATGGTGAGGTATTTACCTTTGGGAAATTATAAGCTGGATGAGAGTTTGGGTTTTCTTTCATGTATATTTTATAGACCCATCGTAGCAATTCTTTTGCGGCTATGGGGGACTTTTCAAATTAAATGTACTTTGTGTCATTTCACAAAAAATACTGCAGGTTCCTACCGAGATTTAAGACTAAAGTGTTTAATATTACACCATGTGGTCGCTGTCCGAGCAGCCGCAGTGCGACGTTTATACAAAAAAAAACCCAAATCTTTCATGTAACTTAAATTCCTACGTTGAGTTAACTGTATCGTTAAAATGTTTCGCAAAATACAAAGTTACTATTATAAAGAAATCTTGCAAAAATATATTTTTAAAAGCGAGATGAGCGGAGCGTAAATTCAAGACATCTTGTCACACTCTTTCGGATGCAGATACAGGGTGGGGTGGGCAGGCGGCTCAGGGCTGACGTCACTATAGTGCCTCTGACTGTGAGGTCCTGGGGATCGAATCCCTACGGTGATAGGATTTTCGACACGCGTGAGATGGCTAGGTCGATTTCTTCTGCTGACTGTAGGGGCGAATTTAGGCATAGGCACAAAAGGCACGTCCAAATTATTAGTAGCGGCAAAAATTGTGGGCTAAATTTCTATGTGTATATTTCTAAAATCTATAAAATTATTCAAATCATAAATTTTGGAAAAGATATGCATTTAAATGTGTGTATTTTTACCAATCTGTTTAAAAAGGTATAATTTCGTTCATATTTTCTTGAATTAAATATAAACTTTACATAATTTTAAGAATTGAAAGTAGAATAATAAATATGTATAACTACGAAAAAAATAATGAGTTTAGTTATTTCTATATATAAAAATACATGGTATAAAAGGTAACAGATTTTCAGTAATAGAAATGAACACCCCTTAATTTTAATTAAATAATTATATTATATTTTGAAACATAAATTATTTTGTTATTAAAATCATTTCTGTCCTGTTTTTTTGGGGGGGAGGGAGTCGAATGGGCTGCATTTTTTCCCGAGCCTATAGGCGACGAAATTGTTAATCCGCCTTGGCTGTGTGGAGGACAATTATAGGAAAACGTTTGCGTCTCTAGTTTTTTTCAGAATTTCTTTTCACTAAAATATTATTTCTCCATGTCTATAAAATATAGTCGAGTTTAAGCAAAAATACAAAAATCTATAAACTTATTTAAAGAGTTTTTTTGTTATTTGTTGTGTTATCTGCAATAAACTTACCTTCTAATAAGAGAGTTTTGAAAAACTTGGTTAAGCGCTTGGAATGTCAGAGCAATGTAGGCATGTCTGATGTTTTTTGCTTTTTTTTATGAAAGATAAGTATTCCGTTTCACAGTAGATTGTCAATATAACGAGCAATGTTTTATCATCTTGTGGGAAAAATATTTTATTTGGAAATTTATTACCTTGATGCATACTAGAAAGTGCAAAGACTAACCAGTTGTCAGCAAAATATTACATTATCTGCAATGTATCGTGTCTTGCGTACATTTATATGTACTAACATTTTGCTAGTGTGGACATTATACTTACGTTCTAAATGTGTTTCACGATCGAGCGTCAGAGGGTGTGTGTATATATAAATACCCTCTGACGCTCGATCGTTATTATTAATCGTGTATTAATAACATCCCGAACCCCACTCAACGGAAGAATATCTATTTATCCTGCAGAAAATATTAAATAGTAAAGAGAGTCAATATCTTCAATGATTTAAAAAAATAAATTTGACAATGTAAAGGTACTTTACCATATTTAAATATACTGTTGTAATGAAATATCATAAATGAAAAAATCAACTATATTTTAAAAAAAAAGCACAAACATATTCAATATCAGAGAAAATGTGAACACTAAACAATCTGATTTCGAAAAGGCAGAATAATTATTTAAAACGATATTGAGTATTCTAAATACTGTAAGAAAATTACTATATTGACGAAAAAAACTAATACAAAAATTAATTACAGGACAGAAATTCACTCACTTGCAAAATGATACCAAAAAAACGATGAATAAAATCGTCGAAATCGGTGTAAGCGGTCCATAAAAATCTTGATAAAATCGATGTATATTTGAGAAACTGGGAGCTGGTAAAGTAAAATCGTCGAAAAAGTATATTGGTGTACACAGTCCATAAAAAATCTTGATAAAAATGATGTATATAAGAGAGGCTAGGAGCTGGTAAAGTAAAATCGTCGAAAAATATATTGGTGTAAACAGTTCATAAAAAATCTTGATAAAAACGATGTATATTTGAGTACCTGGGAGCAGGTAAAGTAAAATCGTCGAAAAAGTATATTGGTGTAAACAGATCATAAAAAATCTTGATAAAAATGACGTATATAAGGGAGGCTGGGAGCTTGTAGAGAAAAATAGTCGAAATTGGCGTATATGGTCCATAAAAA